TTTATAGCTCTCTGAGTTTGCTTACATAAATTTTCCCGCTTAGTATTGGGAAGTTGTTCTATAATAAAGTCGTAGACTAGGCCTTTTGCTTTTTTCTCACCAATGTTATATTTGGTCATAAAATCTCTAACCAAATATTTGAATTCTTTAGCATACAAACACCAACATAATATTTCTTCCTGATTGGCTTTCATTGCGCTTTCTTCAGCATTGCATGCATTTTGATATAAGTTAATGATGTTTTTAGCCCTATAAGGCCTACTTTTGCAGTTATCTGAAGTTTCACGAAGTGAGAATGCTTCTGCATTTGTGATACGTGTGCTTTTTTGATCTGAAGATAGACCCGAAGGGTCATTGCTTCGCAATAAATTTTCATTTATATGATTTTTTTCGAGTGATATTTCCTGTATTAAATCTTTTCCCTTCTTCTGTTTACGTGAATCCTGGTCGTTAATTATTTCAGTATTGCATAATATATCCGACGAAATATTGTGGTTAACTGGAGATAAGTCCTGAGATTGGTTTTTATCTGATTCACGTAGAAGTTTCCTTTCCTTATTACGTTGTCTTATTTCATTACTAACCTTTTCCTTGTTTTTCTCGTCTAAGAAATTGTTCATCTCTTTATCCTCTAACAATTTGGAGTTAGCATCAATGCACTGATCTATAACGGGGTTGGGTACATTAACAATGTTCTCAGAAGAATTATCACCGTCTTCTAGCCGATGTTCAAAATTCTGTTCTAATTTCGCAACTCTAGCTTTAAGTTCGGCATTTTCAGCAGTAGTCTCTATCCTATTTTTCTCTAACTCCTCAATTCTGGTTTTGAGCTCAGTATTCTCTTTTATGAACCACTTTAGCTTCGCATTCTCAGCTTTAACTTCGATATTCTCAACCTCAATCCCAGCATACTTCTTTTTAAGTTCAGTAATCTCTACAATAAGCTTGGAATTCTGTTCTTCTAGCAAATTAATTTTGGATTGTGTATTTGCCATTGTTTCATATAAGAATTATTTATTTAAATTTTCGAGTTAAAACAAAAATCAAATTGCCAAGTAATTTCGCAGACCTCGGGTCGTTCAAATTTCACAGACCTCAGGTCGTTCAAGTTTACCAAGAAATTCTCGATCATATGCGAGTTAAAAGACAGATATCAATACAATAAAATAAATTCACGAAATACACATGCAAAATAAACGCGATTATATATGCAAAACGGCCACCAGGGCCAGTTTTATTAATAATTGGCTACAATGCAAGATTAATGACATTACATGCTAAGATAACAAAATATTGAACTATAACACTCCTGTTTTGTTCGATCCACACCCTTTACCAAACCAACATACAATACATGCTATCACATATTCATTGAATTTTATAATCAATAATCTTACTACTCGTATTCCATTGGAGTCATACGTTTAACTATCTCCATTGTTTCTTGATTTTCTCCCATCACAGGATCAACCCAAGCAGACAATAAATGTTTAAGGCTATTTGTGATATCATTAACGTTGGTCGATGATGAGTTTGATGTAGACTGCTCTAAGCAATTGTAAATGTTCGACGATAGTCCAAACAATCCAAGTGAGGTCTGAAAATGCTCTCGGAACTCTTTGATTTCAGAATCTGAAGCATCTGAATCTCTATTATTTTCAAGTCTAATCTTCTTGATAAATTCCTTTCCTGTTTCTTTAGCATCCGTTTCATATCCTTTTAGTACTTCTTCAATTTTACGCTTGCAGGAACCCATGTTACGTGTTGTAGTAAACTTTGACGGAACGTCAGCTGACTCTGATTTTGCACCTAATTGCAAATACAAGGACAAAAATGGCATGTACGGTAGATCCTCAATGCCTACATAGGCTGGCGACAGAAAAGTAGTTGCGGATTTTTTATATTCATATCTACTATTAGTAGAGTGATTTTTAACTTGTATTAGTATGTATGAAATACGATCTTCATTAAAGTTTTCATCAAGAGTGCCCATATATAGAGGTATTATAATATCTGCTCCCCGCTGATTTCGTTTACATGAAAATGCAATACCGCGAATCAGAGCTTTCCCAAGATTCTTTCTATCTGGAATATATCTAA